TCTTCTTCTTCTTCTTCTTCTTCTTCTTCTTCTTCTTCTTCTTCTTCTTCTTCTTCCAGACATTTTATACCGTACAATTATTTCTAAATCTATAATTTGAAACACAATTAGTCTAGGATCTTTATAAGTTATTGTAAACTCTTACAATGTATTATATTAAATTATATATTTCTAACTATCCATCCTTTGTAGCTTAATATTTTTTAGCCATGGAAAAAAACAGCTTGATATGCATTATCCTTCTGAGCTTTGTAGCTGAAAAGGGGTTTGGATGTTTCTGTGATCATTATCCATGGAGTTCTTGGTCCAGCTGTTCAAAAACTTGCAATTTTGGGACACAAAGCCGAACCAGGTTGGTACAAGAACAAGATTTTTTCCTTGTAAAAATAGGACCTATAATTTCTACTTGATTAAGAAGAAATTTAAACATGCATTCTAAGGTTACTATAGACAAGCATATACATGTTCTTGTTTTCCCACAATAACCAAGAGAAGAGGAAATGATGTGGAAGGAAGGAAAAAGGCCTATATTAATCCAAATGTGAGCCAGTGCCAGGTTTGAGATCTTCCAAGATCACTTTTGTACTTCTCTTCCTCATGGGTTTGTTAAGGCTAGAAAGCAGTAGCAATGGATGACATGAAGCTCTTCATGTGACAAGGTCCCTCTCTAGTTTGGGATCCGTTCTCACAAAAATGAGCTTTATACATATATGTTGCTATTTGCCATGCTTGCCAAATCCATAGCTAGCCCTTGTAATGCTTGCTAAATGCATAACTAATAGGATGACTAGCTGGGGTACATGTCTGCAACTTGAGACAGAACTAGCCCATATGAGTATAGGCGTATCTCAACTACCCCCATCCTCTTAGTATAAGATTCAGGATTAATATACAATATCTTCATCTTGCAGGGCAAAAGTGCAAGATGACTATTATAATAAGAATTTTTGTGAACGAATGTGTTCATGGACTGAATTTCAGGCTTGTAGCCAGCAAGCATGTCCCATCAACTGCCAACTCGGTGACTGGGAAGAGTGGTCAGAGTGTGACCCATGTGTTAAAGAACAGGTAATTTGATCATGAGATGTTCGAGGAACTATCCAGTTGCCCTTGTTTTCTGCATGTGTGATGCAGAAAATATTTCAGACATTCTGAAATATGGATGCAGAGGAACAATAGTTTAAAAAAGGAAAAGCACACAGAAACCCAAATTCTAATCCTACTTCCTGCATCAAGTACCAGCTTCTACCTTTGTATGATCTGCTAACAAAAATATATTCTCTCTGCAGCTGAAACTTTAGAGGAGGCATCCAACTGTGAAACCCACAATAAGAAAATTTGTTTTATTGTTTTCTCCCCACACATGGATTTCCCCTTTCAGTTTCGTGTCAGGTCTCTGCTACATCCATCTCAATTTGGAGGTGAGGCCTGTTGTGGGCAGATGGTAGATCGCCGGCCCTGTTTCCCAGAGAAATTATGCAACATAGAGGAAGTGAACTGTGAGAATAAGTTTCAGTGTGATAACGGTAAACCCTGTTTTATTATCTTTATGGAACTACAATAAACATTCAATTTAACCAGGGGTGCCTGAGAGGAGGAGGTAAAAAAAATCAAGATCGTGGCTGCAACCATGCAGTTGAAGCCCCTCCCCCTTTTACTTGTGGGAGGAATCATGTGGTTGTGGCCGCCATCTTGGCTCTCCTGGATTTAAAAGACTTTAGTTAGCTGATTTCAGATGCACTAGACAAATATGCAAATATATGTCTTGCATAAAATACATACATAATGCATGAAAAATCCCATTCCCATTTTACACAAGCCTTAAAATGTGTAAGATGCATAAAATAAGTATGCATAAAATCTTACTCATTTTTAATGGGAATTCTGCTTTAATGGGCATCAATTTGCCTATATTGGTCCATTAAAAGGAGCATTCCTGTTAATCATTTGTTAGATTCTGAACTTTAGAACAATAAAAGTATGGTTCCAACCTCATGATCTGTCAATATAAAATTCTACTCAGGTGCTATCAAAAGCAATTAAAATGATATTTTCCCTGAACAGTCCTAATGAATCATTTGCTATCTTGTCTTTTTTGTGCTTATGTGCCAAGGCAATGATCTTTCCTAATAATATTTTCATGCTCTCCATTTCCTGTTTTCCAAATCCAGTAGTTTTTGTATTCCAATTTTGGGAGATCTTGAGTTATGGCTGTAGAATCTGAATTGCAAAACTTGTGGCAGCCACTAGACAGCACCAAGGAGCCAATGTTTTCTGTCTCTTTGCCGCCATCTAGTGGTCACCTGACCCAGCTAAGGCAACCCTTCCTTCAGATTCGGGTGGGGAACTCATGAAACATGAATCTACTCTGAGCAATGCCACAGACTCATGTTAGATGCTGTGTCTGAAACCGACAAAGCCACCTTGATTTCTCCAAAACAGGACGCTGTATTGCCAAGAGACTAGAATGTAATGGAGAAAATGACTGTGGAGACAATTCAGATGAACAAAATTGCAGGAGAATAAAGTCTTTCTGCAGGACTAAATTCGAAAGCATACCCAGTGTGCATCTCATGGGCCTCGGGTAAAGTACTTGGATGGAGGGCTCTTCTCTTCTCCATTGTTGAAATAATGCGATTCAGCAGTCCTTGAACCAGCAGAAAACTCTCCCAGCATACCAGGCTGCTCCCATTGTTGATCCTTATTCTGTGACAATAACCATGTTGCCAGATGTTGGTTCTCTTATTTAGAGGGCTCAGGGCATGTTAGGAACAGGGACTGATGGATTCCCTGGACAAGGGAAGTCTTACCTGCATCATCGGCAAGAGTGGTGATGGCAAGGGGCTTGTAGAAAATTAAGGTACCATCCTGAAGCATCCAAAAGTCAAAATGGTGACAGTGAGTGTACGATCGTAGCCCTGATGCACATAAAAAGGGAGTGGGGCTTTGGCTGCCTGGTTGCAGCCATCATCCTGACTCTTTCAACCCCACCCTGCAGACCCCCTGTGAACTCCCATGAATGCCAACAGGATAATGTATCTTTCATTCCTTTTTGTCTCATTTAGGAGTGAAGCAGCTTTTGGGGCCACTTACTATATCTTCAAATCTGCCCTCAACCTGGGGAGCACATTTGAAAGAATTATAATTTTAGATCAATGGCCTGCTCACAAAATAGCTGCTATGGCAAAGTTGCCTATCCACAGGATGGCTGGTGTGGCCAATCACAAAAGATTCATTTTCTAGCTAGTTCTGGAAGATGAACCAGTCTCCTAGAATGCTCTCTTCCATCCCAGTCTGGACTTTGTAGGCCCCAAAGCCATTTCTGCAAATAAATGTAGATACTAGAAGTGTTACAGAGTAGCTGCTTTCTATTCATTTCAAGAAATTAAAATATATTTTGTAAAGTTAGATAGGGTAAGTAGCCTGGTGCCCATTATGGGAGGTGTCTGGGAGGACAAGTAGGCCCTTTGACTTTATTTATTTATTTATCCAATTTATATGGCTGCCTATCTCAACAAGTGACTCTGAGCAGCAAACAGAATTAAAATAAAATAAAAACAATTACAAAAATTAAACTACAAAGCAGCTGAGAAACATCAAGCCCAAATCACTAAGGTAACCAAGAAGCAGGTCCCTACATACACTCAGGGTCCCAGGCTTGGGCACAGAACCAGGTCTTTAGGGCCTTACAAAAGGCCAGCAGGGCCAGGACCATTGTGATCTCTGGAGGGAGAGCATTCCACAAGGTGGGTGCTACAGCAGAAAAGGCAGCAGCACATTTTCTAGGCCCTGCCAGCCAGCATTCTTTGACCAATGGGACCCAGAGGATGCCCATCCTGCCTGACTGGATCAGATGGGTAGAAACAACTGGGGAGAGATGGTCTGTCAAGTAACCTGGTCCCAAGCCATGAAGGGCTTTAAAGGTGACAACCAGCACCTTGAATTGCACCTGGCAGCACACTGGCAACCAGTGCAGCTCACAGAGTATTGGTGTTACATGCATGTCATAACTGATGCCATTTACTACCTGTGCAGCCACATTCTGCACCAGTTGAAGTTTCTGAATGCTGTTCAAGGGCAGCCCCATGTTGAGTGCATTGCAGTAACCAACAGAAGAGAATATGTATAGCTCAGGGTTGAACTGTGGAGTCCTTGAGGTTCTTTGAGCTTGGTAGTTTTCTTGCAAACATTTTGTTACCCAGCTAGGTAATATCTTCATTGCTGGAATGGAGTGGGGTTTGCTCTCTGTTTACATACTGTAGTGCTGTATATAAACAGAGAACAAACCCCACTCCCTTCTAGCACTGAAGATGTTACCTAGCCGGTAACGAAACGTTTGCAAGAAAACAACCAAGCTCACAGAACCCCAAGGACTCCACAGCATTGCAGTAATCCAGATGAGACATCACAAGTGCATATCACTGATCTAATCATCTTTATTTAATTACAATGCTGATTCTAGGTATCATATCCTGGCTGGAGAAACCCGTGGAGAAGTCCTTGATTATTCATTCAATAATGGGAGCTGTGTTCTACAGAAAAGTGAAAACCTAAGGACTACATTTCGTGTTCCTGCTAACCTCAACAACATCACTTTTGAGGTGATTGAAAAGGTTTTAGTAAGGCTGGGCACTATATTAGCCACTGAGCAAATTCAGTGTATGCCCCCCAACTTTAATCCTAGGTTTATCTCTCCATCTGGCCACCCATCTAAGAACCAGAACATGATTGAGAAGAGGGATGTCTGAAAACTTTTTCCAAGAACTTGGTGTCCTCAATACCAGCATAAACCAGAGGTCAGCAACATGGCACCTGCAAGTACCAGTCCATCCATAACATCCCAAGATATTCCCATTTAATCCTGAAATCTAAATGTTAAAGAATGGTTTAAATGACTGATAATTTCCAAGCCTTATGGAATTTGGCAAACTTAGAGCACAAGAACTCTTGCATGATCTCACATGAAAATACAATCTAGCAAGACTTTGACATTCTCACATGAGAATTTGGATGAGATAGTTGGAATCTGTGAGACTGCAGGATATTTTGGTTGGGGAGGAGCAATTTGAATCATTGCATGAGATCATTTGATGCCATCAGGTGCTTGAAAATATTCCTGACCATTGGCAGAGGTGGTATGCTTCTATTCTAAGTTATGAATATATTGGTATCATCCTTATTGCATTAAAACGTATAGGCTGATGATTTGATCATGACCTCTGGTTGTTCCATATTGATTGAACATTCTTTATATGGACAATAAAGTTTTAGTAGGGAAGTTATGATTTAACAAGGTTAATATACCATCAAATTATATCCCCAAGAATTTGGAATGTATCTATTTATGAGGAGCTTTAGATATAGTGTGCTTGGATTCTTACAAAAAAGATTGTTATGTGTTCTTGGAAATATCACTGCACATCAAGTAACAAAATTTGGCTTGCTGAAAGGTATGCACTCTCAGTCTTTGAATTAGCTCTTTATTAACACAATGAAAGGAGTAGACAATACAGTTTCATGCAATTAAATTAAATTAAATTAAATGCATTGCTTAAAAATGAACTACATTTTTTTTAAAAAAATAATTTTATTAAGCATTATGGTCATACAGATAAAAACTACTACAAACCACAAAAAATAAAGGAATAAAAAGAAAAGATAGAAAGCGCAGAAAAAAAGAATAAAAGAGAATAAAAGAAAAATAGAAAAGGAAAAAAAATAAGAATATTGCAAAGAAAGAGAAAAGAATAACTTCCCCCTTCATCACAACAAGTATAAACAATTTTAACAACTTATCACCTTCTCTTAAAATACAACAAACAATCTCTTCATCCCATATCTCATCTCTTATCTATAAATAAATCCTTAAAACCTCGTCATTCAGTCCTGGTCAGCAAAAGTCCACTAAGGGTTACCAGAAATAACAACATAACTATTTTAACCTTGATCAAATAAACCAACTTTATATTCCTTCCCTTTGCTTTTAACAATCTTGTTCTTTAATCCCTTCAAATAATGTCCTAGAACTTGATTTCTTTTCATTTTTTCTTTGTCTCTTCCCACCAAGTCTTTCAAAATTTTAACAGGTTTCCTTTGTAAATCCAATATAGGAAAATTATCCAGGTCACTCTCTTGGTTTATTATTAGTATGTCCCTTTTAATTATTAAAACATCAGCCGGTTTCATTTGTATATCCAGTATATCGTCTTTTTCCAGATTATTCTTGTAGCCTGTCATTTTTAAATCCATGTTCAAATCTATTTCAGTCTTGTCCAGTAGAACTTGTTCCTTTTTCATAAAATCATTTACACACGTCTATCTCTGATGGTAGACACTTAAAATTAACTTCTGAGTCCATTGTTCACAAATACCCTTCAATACATCCAGTGTTAACGCATTTTGCTCCATTCTGTGTTAGCAAGTCTATATATGTGTGTGTGTGTGTGTGTGTGTATGTATGTATGTATGTATGTATGTAT